CATGTTCTTCATCAAGTCTAATTTATCCATACCAAAGTTCAGCTCAAAATTCGATCGGGAAGACATTCAAATAATTTTTTGAAGTTGACGAGTTTTTATATGTATACTTTGACGCAGTCAACTTCAAAAAATTATTTGAATGCCTTCCCAATCTAATTTTGATCTGATATTTGGTATGGATAAACTAGACTTCATGAAGAACATGCTCAAAAAATTTCATCAAAAAATTCCATCGGGAAGTGCCCGAAATGCCCTCGGCCGGACGGCGGTTCCCGTCAGACCTGCTGGACAAGAAAAGGACTCTTTTACACTTAATTTTCAAAATTTTGGGTGTTCACATGAACACCCCTGAATAAAGAAGGTCCGCCCCTGCCGCCATGACCATTGAGGAAAAGCAAAGTTGAACTGTAGCCATTGCTCATTAAATGCACAAGCAGCAATGTAGAACACTCTAGATGAAATGCTCCCATTCCAGGACTCTTTATCAATTATACTCCTGATGACATTACTGTCTGAACAGAGATTCAGACATCCAATTCAGCGCACTTGATGTTTTTCTTCCTTCTGTCTATGGCGTCAACTCTTTCCTATAACGCTATGAAACCTTCTCTTTACGTTATAGCGGTAGTGTAATTTCTTTGGGCGCGGCAGGTTCTTCATATGGCACCGCAGGTTCTCTGATTCCGCTTCTTCTTGTAGAATGGAACATAACCGACCAAATGAGGAAGAATACTTGCCATTCCTCCGACCCTAGTATATGATCTACAAGGAGACGGTTGAATAATTGCCGAATGAACAAAGAGATGCCTAGCAACCAAACAGTTGTGCAATTGACGGGGTTGGCAGTTGTTTTGACGAACAAATGAAAAGTTAGACGGCAAAAGAACCATATAACGTACGATGGCGCTTATTATATAAGTAGATATATATATATATATATATATATATATATATATATATATATATATATATATATATACTCCGTATATAATTGGGATTCTCAATAAGTTATTTTTGTAGAATTCTTTCGATTTATTAAGATGTAATGTAAAAATATAGGCATAATTGTTGAATGAAAAAAACAATACATGCTCTAATGAAACAAATATGCTTTTATTGATGAAAAGAAAATAATACATGATCTAATATGAGAAAGCTAAAGATAGAAATTAGATGAAATTATAAACTATGGGAAAAAGAGTTAAATACACTCCCTTGCTATTTCTAATTCATCATTTAAACCTTTCTACTTAAAAAACATCATATAAGTACGCTCACTTTCAAAATACAATCAACCAAGCCATTTTGGCTTCCTATTACATGTTACTTTTTAAAAATTAAATTACGAATATTGATAAATCATACAAAAATTCATAGAAATTGAAAAAATAATCAAATAATAATATAAAAATAGTACAAATACAAGCATGAAAAAGTAAAAAAAAATACGAAAACTGAAAAAATAGATCAGCATAAAAAAACTAGGCCTGGGACCGGTTCGGTTCCTAGGCAAAATATGTGGAACCGTTTGAAAATATGAAATTTTACTAACGGTTCGGTTCTTATAAATTATTTTAAAGAACCGATAAGGAACCGAACCGTTTTTAACGGTTCGATTCTTGTCATTTAACGGTTCCTAGTCTTTGAAAAAATTCTTACAAATCACGACTAAATTTTTGCCAAAAAGACATTCAACGTTCAAAATCTCAATACATATATGCTGAACCAGTTAAAGAGAATAATAATTTTAAATACTCTGGACCTTCCGAGTTCCGACCAGCTGGAGTTTGGACCTAATGAGAGGCCTAAGAAGCCTAAGAGAACCGGTTGAAATAAATAATAGTTTTAAATAGTTATATAACTAAACTAAAATAATGAATATAATATAAAATTAAATAAGTAAATATACATTACAATATATATATTCATAAAAAATATATTTAATTTTAATTATTATATATAACGGTTTCTTAACGGTTCCTGGTACATATTTTTTTCAGGAACCGAGAACCGAACCGTTAATAAAAATTAGGAACCGAACCGTTAACAAATAACTAATAAATGTCGGAACCGAACCGAACCGGGTCATAACGGTTCGGTCCGGTTCGGTTCTCCGGTTCTTGGTTCCAAAGTCCCAGCCCTAAAAAAACAAAAAATAAAAACTTTAACAACCATTCTAAATAGATGTAGAATATACAAATAATTAAAAATAATTTTAAAGTATTGACTTTGATATTCTAAAAATTTTCCAAATTTTTGTATACAAGTCTTCAAATTTAACAATTCTCAAAGTTTTTTAAATATTAAAAATTTGCTATTATTGGCCAAAAACGGATTAAATGGTCACATTGATCATTTTTTATAGTAGGTGTGCTTCATATGATACTTTTTTAATACATAGGCTCAATTGACGTATTGAAAATAGTAGAAAGACTTATTCTGACCCTTTTCCCTACACCATGGAAATGTTCAAAGTTCAAACTAAAGACTTAAACGAGAAATACTTTAATGATCCACCAATAGAAATGCCACTCTCTAAGACAAAACAGTAAGTCAGTGTAGTAGAATGCTTTTGTGTATTCCTCAGCTAAAGTTTGATCAACACAATGGCAATTCATGTTCATCGTGACTCCATGTGTAGCAAAAATTTGCTATCAAGTGCCATTAATATTTGACCAGCCAAACCACACAATTATTCAGCTGCAAATAACCTAGGTAAAAAAGATAACTCAATCAACCAATAAATTAAAATGCCACAAATATAGTCTGACAAAGGTCTCCAAAAACAAGATGCAGACAACTCCCCATGAAATTAGAAGTCCAAACTCCTAAGACTAACAAAAGAATGGTTAAAAAGCACATTGTAAACGGAAAATTTTATGGAGCCCTATATGACTCCACTATGGAGTCATATAGCATATGTGGCACCATCACAATCATTCACTCATGAAGTAGGGTCCTCCACTATAAATCCACTATAGAATTGAATGATTGTGATAATGCCACATGTGCTATATGACTCCATAGTAGAGTCATATAGGGTTCCATAAATTCTTTGCATTGTAAACATGAGACATCTTATAACCATAGAAGGCCACCTAAACATATACATCATGTAATTTTAGTTCATTAGGTCAATTATATTTCAGCACTATCAGTTTGTTAGGTACTGAGTTTGATGTTTCTGAATAAAGATAACGACATCTTGTTTTGCAAATTCCAACTTAGACTCCAAACTAAAATTCTCATATAAAGATTTATCTAGCAATTGATTTATATATCTAGCATTTCATTTAACTGACATACTCGACTCTGAATGCAAATAGTCCCTCTCATCTTGAGCATCTCCTCGCTTGCCCCGAGCCTTTACAAAAGATGCAATGAGTGGACTTAGAAGAAGAAAAACAGTCAAATATTGCAATTAAAAGAATCTATATAATTCAAAACACAGGGAGTTGGCCCTACCCGCCACTAAAATTTCAATATGATATGAATTGAGACAAATAAAACATATGATAATTTAGCATGATGACTAATTGACTTAAATCTCTTTTATCCAGTGCTTAATTAAGATCTTTGCATTTGGTATTCTTAAAAGTATGGTAAGTATCGATATCGGATACGCGCATAGACATGGGGGTGAAGTATGAGTGCATTATAGTCAATTACCAATGACATTTTGAAAATATGGTTTCCTGAACTTCTAAAGTAACATCCATGAACAACAAATATCTTGAAAAAGCATTAAGAAAGTTACTAGCCTTCCTATTTAATAAATGGATTGCATGGACTTACTAGATTTGCTCATATAGTCATATGTCTAAATATGTAGGAACTCACAATGTAATAGAACATGAGTTGAAAAACAGGAGTAAAGGTAATGCAACATACAAATAATATATGAGCAATGTAATGCAAATACATTAAATTCCACTAGTAATACAATTACGACATGTAAATAGATAATTTATGTATTTCTCTTAGAAAGTACAGATAACTTATGTTCAAAACTGAAACAGTTTCAGTATTTAAATATAGAACACATGAAGTTTGCACTTTATACCTTGAACAACTCACATATTGTGCAAGTTCTATTTCCGATCGATGTACCTTGAACCACCTACAGGTTTAACATCACCATACGAGTTATCTGTTTTGAAAAAACTGAATTTTCTGAATATTGAGGAGATGACCATGTGAAGTGGGTTAGTCTTCAATTTTCGAGTGTCGCTAGAGCCACATACAAATATAGTAACAACACTGAACGAGTCATCTGTCTCAATATTGAATCTTCAAGATACCGAGAACGGCGAGAAGATGTCTGTCGATATTGAATCTTCATGATACCGATGAGATGACTGTTGAAGTATGTCACTTCGGAATAGCCTCACCCTATTAATAGGTACGAGTGTAAAATGTTTAAGATTATTGGGTTGGCAATGATCAGCAGCAAGCATTTAATCATTTATAATTCTTGAGAAGTTAACATTGTGTAACATATACTTCTATAGTAAACAACTACATACGGAGTAGACCGAGTAGTATATTTGACGTTTAATAATGGGAAAATGGAAACTAATAATCCAACCTTTTAGCGGTCTTCTTTTAATAGTCCGACCTTTTCGTTATTCATGAATAATCCAACCTTTGCACATCATCTTCATTCACTGGTCCCTGGCCGGTTGATGACCTGTTATTCCAAGTTATTTTCTTATCTTTCCAAAATATTATCTTTGTGAAAGGTGGAATTTATGGTATAATAGTTTGCAGAGATAAGAAAATAACTCGGAATAGCAAGTCATCAACTGGTCGGGGACCAATGAATGAAGATGAGGTGCAAAGGTTGGATTATTCATGAATAACGAAAAGGTCGGACTATTAAAAAAAGATAGCTAAAAGGTTGGATCATTAGTTTCCATTTTCCCTTTAATAATTTTTATTTATTTTATAGGATGACAAAAGGTATTCTTCCATTATATACTCCGGTTTAGCATTGGGCACTGACTTTTGGGCAACGCGGAAACTAAGTGGGAGTGTGGGAAATATAAGGCGCGGTAGAGTTTGGGTGAAATTACGATCATCAGCCCCTACTTTCCTACACGCCACCCAAACGGGACCCTCCTGAGTCAAATCCTCATCATCTCCCACACACCCACGCTCACAAACCCTAGATCCCCTTTTGTTTTCACCTTTTCCATCCGCCGCCGCCGCCGATTTCACCCGCCGCCCCCTTCAATCCCCGATCCGGCTTCCGATTTCTTAATCCACACCCCTCTCTGTCTTTCTGCCGTCACGCGCTTCCGATCTGGTCGCGGTACGCCTCTTTCTCTCTCTCTCTCTTCCTTCGGACGTATCTTTTCGGGTTGAAATCTTCGATCGATCGGGTTGTGTTTTAATTTCTCGAATCACGGGATCTCACGGTGTAATTTGTTGTTCGATTCATCAGATCTCATGGTTGCGATTTGATTTGAAACCCTAGGTTCTGATTTTGTAATATTCGATTTATTCCTAATTAGGGTTGTTTTAGAAATTCTCGATTTCTTGCAATTTTTTGGAAGACTGCCTGTTTGGTCGATGTTACGCACGTATCCCCAAATCTTGATAGCCTGACGTCACCTGGGCTGTGTTTTATTTTATTACAAAAAACATTTTAAGTGACCAAGGTTCCCTCTTTATTTTAAAAGAAAACATAAAATAACTTTGACTTCGTCCTTAATAGAGATACGGCTGAACCTCCATTACCCCTGCCAATTCATATGCCCCATCTTAGCTGTGCGTCAGCTGACTACTTACTTCAGACATAATGTGAGAAGTTCACAATGCTTATATAGGGCATATAAAGTATTCCAGTTTGCATTGGGGCTTTATTGGAAATGGGAATCAGTGAGATGTATGTCTTTGCTGTGTGTATATTTAAGCAGGATTGCCAACTTACCTTACATTATTAAATGGGCCTATTTGTGAAGAGATGGAGCTAATCAGCTTCTTCACAGTTTCTCTCTATGAAGCACAGAAACTATCGGGGTTTCCTATTTCATAAACTATACAAAAACTCTTTGGAAACTCTCCAGAGCGTTGATTTTCTTATGATGCTGTCATTGTATGGAAACATTTCTAATCATGATTTAATTCCATTCTGTGGAAACATTTCTATTCATGTCTTGGATGAGGCCAGACATCCAGATGAATGAACTGAAGAAAACTTTTAATGCAACCATCGCAAAAACTGCTTCTAGGTGTGTTTGTGCCAACCGTGAAAGTATAATTCTGATGATGTAGTAGGCATATCTTTTATTTATCACACATTGATTTGTAAATTTGAGTGTTGGGATGAATAAGTACATTTTCTTTCCCTTTTGTTTATTCTTGTTTGAATCTAAAGGCTTCTTGATTACCTCATGCTTTACCTAATTTAGATTTTCTCTTGCAGGTAAATATGACAAACAAACGGCCTTTTGATGATGAGGTGGTCTATGAGGGTAATCCTAAACATCATAGACAAGATAAACATGGTGCAGATATCACTTCATGTAATGAAAGTTATTCTAAAGGAGGTTTATGCGAGAAGAACTACGGTCTAGGCAAGGACTTGGCAGGTGAGTGTTTCTGTTGCAAGTTTTGGGATTTTTCTTCGATAAATCTTGAGATTTTTTTTGGATAACATTGAAGCTCTTGATACGCAGTGCTCTTCGCATAGCTTGTAGAGAATAGTTATTTAATAGGAGTATATACTTTTTGCGGTTTTTAGTATTGCTTTGGTTAGCTGGGAAATCTCTGTTTAGTATGCTGTGACATTACGCTCGTACAAATCAGATGATTTTGCGTTCCAATTCTTATTTAATCAGTTTGTGAATAAATCATTCTACCTTGAAACGTGAACAAGTCATAATAAGCTATGACATATTTCTTGCTTTTGTTGCAAACAATTTTCCATATCCTGATTATTTGTTTGCTTGGCTGACAAATGATGCCTACAGGTGAGGCTAACATGGGTAAAAGTGATGTGACAAGATCTGTTTCGTTGTCACATTGGACTACCAGTAGTTGCACTAGTGATGAAGATGAGCTGCCAGAAGATACGTTTCAATCTCCGTTCTTCCCTGGATATTTCACTTTTGGCTGTTCTGCCAGACCAGCAATAAACCCAGATGATTCATATAATTGCTTGTTAGATTATCCTCCTCGGAAGCAAGTTCCTGTTGGGCCTGATCACCAAGCTGTTATTCCATGTTGGAACCCTCAGGAAACTTATGAGGGAGAATTGGGTGGGATCCCTGTCTTGCCAAATCCCGAGACTGATGAAAAAGTCATGAATGGTTGGACCAAATGTACATGCCCAGATGAGGGTTCTATCAGATGTGTGAGGCAACATGTTGCAGAAGCTAGAGACAAACTGAGGAGAACTTTTGGTCCGGCCACCTTCACGGAGTTGGGTTTTGACGAGATGGGTGAAGTTGTGGCTGACAAATGGAGTAAAGAGGAAGAGGAGTTGTTTGACGAGATTGTATACTCTAACCCAGCTTCAATGGGCAAGAATTTCTGGAATACTCTGTCTACTGCTTTCCCTTCAAAAACAAAGATGGAGATTGTCAGCTACTACTTCAACGTTAACATGCTTAGGAAGCGAGCTGAGCAAAACAGATGGGACCCATTGAACATTGATAGTGATAATGATGAATGGCAGGGGGAGAGTGACAACGACGAGTCCACTATCCAGGATGGTCTTGACTTCCCTCAAAAGCAGCATTGTCATGAAAGTGAGGATGATGACGAAGATCTCTCTGATGAGGGGCCTGGCCGGAATTCTTCTGATTTTGATCCTTCCTTTGAGTCACCTGGTATGAAGAAGTCTGTTGACGGTGGAGAAACTGGTCTCCAAGATGGAGGAGGATCATGCACATCTTCAGATTCAGGGGTGCAAGGTGGCCCCTTGAAGCCAGATAATGGCTCCCTAGAGTGGAATGGATATAACTTAGAATCATCTGATGGTAAAACAATGTGGGACGTGTATAATGTGAGTTGCCCCAAGTTTAATTTCGATTTCTTACCGACGTGCAGTATGATTGAGGAGATCTTTGGAGAGGGAGATTTTGACTCCAAAGGCAAGAGATGGTGAATGGTCTTGGCTCTGCCTCTGGAAAAGATTTACCAAATGCCTGGTTCTCTTGTCCTTTCTTGTCCTCATTTTAGAGCATTAGAATGTCCAGTTTTCCTTTTGTAAATTGCCATTAAAGTGGGAAGATGGGAGTCAGCATAAAAATGTAAAATAGTACAGAATAACTTTATTCTGTTTGAGAAAAGTAGCCCTTACATTTTTGGGTTCTCTTTATTAAACTTGGATATCATCTCAATTCTCAAGGGAAAGTTGCACAATTTGTTACTATCGTGTTCATTACATAGCTGTAGGCCTGTAGCTTAACCCCTAACAATACAGACGCCTGAACCTCTATAATTTTTTCATTATATAGTTCATTAACATCATTGTATTGGTTCTCAAATATTAATACAATAGTATCTCCTGGTTTTCCATGTGTTGATATTCCATTTAGTTGCTTACTATTCCATTAATGGGTTGGTCTATATTCCAAAAATGGAAGAGTCAGAATTGGTTAAACATGTGCTAGTTTGGTTTGTTTGCGGGAGCTGGGTCCAGTTTTGAATGGTTAAATCGGAAATTTGAGTTTCCTAAAACGGGTTGTGAATTGACTGGTTCTGGCACAATTCAAACTAACTGGAATTGACCACCTTTATATCGGACTAGGGGTGGACTCAGGCCGGTTCGGGTCCGGGCCTGGCCGGGCCTCGGTTCAGGAAAGGGGAGGCCCAGAACCGGCCCGGGTAACCCCTGGTTCCGGGTCGAGCCTCGGCTCTTTTTTTTTTTTTTTTGCTTTTTCCTAATTAACCCCTACCCCCCCTATCCCAAACCATCTCAAATGACCCAAAATACCCAGTCCAACCCAAAATTTTAACAAAAATTCAAAAAAAAAAGAAAAATAAAATAAAATGGCCCAGACCGGGCCCGAACCGGTTCACGTTTTGAGGGGCCCGGACCGGAACCCCAGCGGGTCGGGCCTACCCGAACCGGTCATTGACCGGGCCACCGGGCCGGGCCGGAACAGTGCCGGTTCGGGCCGGTTCCGGGTCGGGCCACCCGGCCCGAGTCCAGGCCTATATCGGACCATCGGTTGCTCGTTTTTATTACAGACAGGAATTTTAAAAAATTTAAATTAGGTTGTTGGCAAATGTATCAGATGGTTGTGGTCTGGGATTAGATTAGGACTGTCCATCCCTAACTTTTACGTGGTATATTACAAAAATCTCAATGATTTGGGAATACTAAAGTACTTGCTCCCCACTACTAGGTGGGATCAGTATAAATGTGGCTTTGAAAGTGTTTGAGTCTTTGAGTTTCTGTTGATCACACAACTTTCATAAAAGAAACCTCCATAACCTCATCTGTTCATCATGAGAAGGGAGGAAGCACAGGCTAAAATGTGAGAGCATCAAGGGCTCTCTTGGAATTAGGCTAAGTGTCAAATAAAAGTTGGTTGTAGGTTTGCATGCTGACCTTTTGTACAATTGCGGTTGACTTGTGGAAGCAATGAGTTGAGGTTGGGTTGTACATCTTTATTAGGCCAGTCATTCTTGGTGCACACATTTGGCCGTGTAAACCACCGTGTACACGCTTATTTCGTCTGTGTACAGAAGGCCTTTTCCTTATTAGGCCCGAGAAAACAATAGGCAGCCACAAACACCATCTCCCTCTGGATTAATCATAACCTGCAAATTTAATACCCAATGGCATCCATAAACAGTTAAAAGTGGTTATGGTTGCTCTCTTTTGTTAGAAATTCATGGTCATGATCCCTCTTTTTTGCAATTCATTCTATTCAAAAGAATGTAATTTGATCTATCTAGCTTTTAAAATGTGGCCAGATCAGGTCTGGATGTTTTTTGTCTGGTTTGAATGATTTTAAAAATCTGAAACTTGGATGTTCCCTAATCTTGTCTGAAATATAAGAATTGGTCTAGACCATCACGATCTCGTCTGAATCTTTCTAATAGCCTTTCAAATAAACAGTAAGCAATAAAAATAACATGCACAGAGTAAGCATCATGAGTAGGGCCGTAGGCCGGTAGGGGGAAAGCAGCCTTAATAGAGGAGGAACTATGTCATTAGGTGTGGTTAGCATTTCCCAAAATCACCAAGATTCACAAATTGAGCTCCAGGGATGACATAAATCTTGATTTCTTAGGTTGATCAAGATTATAGGTTGGTTCATCAAACAATATCAGTTCAACCTAATATCTTTTCTTTTTCTTCCCTTATTTGTGTATCAAAATTACAATATATTCGAACTCCGCATTTGCAGTTTAATTTGGTGTAATTTATAAATATACAAAGTTTCATTAATACTACGAGTATTATAGAGTGATAATTTATTAGAGTGATATTTTCGGATGACGAAGAACAGTAAATGTGAAACTCAAGTATCGCCTTAAACTTTCAGTTGAAACGGATCACATTTTTCAATTATAAAGGCTAACCCTTTTCGAAACTATATTTCAACCAGAAATTATATTCTCTTTTGAAGCTGATCCTGAGGTGTTAAAAACGAAAAAAATCAGAGGAGGATCTGAGCAAGTATATCTCTGTTCTGAAATGTTTAGAACAGACACAAAAAGGCGATAAGGAGGGAGAGAAGGTGGGTACCTTACCTGGAAGCGGCGTCATTCCTTGAGGCAGATCGGAGTTTGAAATTTTAACAGTTCGAGCTGATGAAGAATTAGAAAAAGGGGACAGAGAAATCAATGATCAAATTGGAGGAGGCATCATCATCATCATCATCATCAATAGCGGGTAGAATTACACCCTCTTGACTATCTTTTGCACCAGCTTTGATCCTAGTTCTTCTATTCATTGATTTTCACCAATATTACACCTCCAGACTACAATATCCTCAAAGTTTCAGACTGCAGTAGAGAGATGCATTCAAACGTGTGTCTGATGTCTGTATGTATATAATACTCCGTATAATTAAATGAGAATGTGATAAAGAGAGAAATGAATGTGGTGACTGGTGACTTTGCTGATTCTTCTGATTTATGAAAAAATTATATTTAAAATATATTTTATTAATAAAATAAAGAAAAAATCATATGAAAAATAGATAGAATGATCATCTAAAGTAACTTCAGTCACTACAGTCAGAAAAGTAACTTCAACCTTACATTTTTTTATTATTACACAATTCGGGACATGTAATAAAAAATTACGTGTTTGATTAAAAAGTTGGCTGATAAGCCTGAAACAAAACTGAAATGTTTGGTGCACACATTTTGATGTACATTTTTCGTGCATTCGTCTGTCTCATGCATACAAAGTTGTCTGTCCACGACAATTTTACGTGTCTGTCCACACACACGAGTGCATGAAAAATGTACACAAAAAGGTGTAATGCTCAAAACAAAATGTGAATCCTTTTACGTTATCACCCATTCACCCTTATTCCCTTTTTCACGGAGACTATTCTCACCGAACCGAAATAGAAGAGTGACTTTCAATATTCACTAATCAATTCATGATTTATACTTGCATATTATAAAAGAGGACATCTTTTTTCGATTTGATTAATGCTAATTAATCAAAGAGGACAACTTTTTTCCATTATTAATGTTCTTTCAAGAACGACATTCAAATTAGGGTTGAGTTATGGTCCGGTCCAATACTTTGTTGAATTTGTACCCGTATCATGATTATTGAAATGATAGATTCAGTCTTAAATTTGGAACATGTTTGGTAATCATGTTTTTCGGCTTATCATACTTATCAGTTAACTTTTTCCCCAAACACATAAATTTTGACGAGCGTTGGATTGTGTAATTATAATAAAAAGTAAGGTTGGAGTTACTTTTCTGTCTATATTGGCTGAAGTTACCGTATAAGATAATTTTTGCTATTTTTTCATTTAATTTTTTATTTATTTTATTAATAAAAGATATTTTAAATATAATTTTTTATAAATCAGAAGAATTAGCTATTGCATCCAATGCAACCAGAACTTCATAAATTTTAGCATAATCAGTTGATTCAGTCGCTTTCAGTGTTACCAAACAGGCTCTTAAACTCGTTTGGCACGACTCCATTTTCAAATAAGACGGTATCAATTTATTTTGGGTAGTGTTGTTACCGCTACCTATATTATTAATAACCATGCTAGGGATACACAAGTTGTACACAACTTCTACACAAAATGTTGGTCACAGACAATTGGTACGAAATTGTCTGTGGTCACATGTACACAAACAACTTTTGTCTGTGTCCACATATGGTTGTAAACGAATCAAATAATTTGTGCCCGATTCGCGATTCGAATTCGTATAAGACGATTGAATCCAGAAAATTCAAATACAAATATGAATATTAAATTTGATTCGATTTGTTATCAAATACAAATAAGAATATCAGTGTATTCGATTCGAATATTAATAAAATATATTCGATTAATAATAGTGATAATAATAATAATAATATTAATAATAATAGTAATAGCACTATAATAACTTTTAAAAGATAGCAATACCCTAAAGTGTAGTTCATATATACATTTACGCATACAATTTATAAGTCTATTTGTAATAAATCAGAGTATAAATACGAATACAAATCGTATTTTTGGTTTAAATGTCTTTAAAAAACAATACAAATAATTATGTATTCGATTCGCATAATAAAATTAGAGTCGTCTGACTTTGATATATACAATTATCAACTTATTTCACACATTATAAGTGTAATTAATAATATGTTAGTGTTTATTTCAAAAGGTTTGAAATAGATTTATATTTATTAATCACAAAATTGATTCACTTTAGTATATCGTGCACAATCTAAAAATGCATTGATCCATTGAATTTAAATTCTAAAAACACATATTAATCATAGCGTACATTTACAACATAAAAAAGTATAAGAAAGTTTAATTTTAAGTGACATTTGACTACTTAACCTATGCTCAAATCTATTCGATATTTGTATAAGATTCGTTAACTATTCGTATTGTTAAACAAATACAAATACAAATCGAAATTAATATTCGCTTCATCATATTTCAATTCGAATTCGTATTCGAAAAAATTAAACAAATACAGATACAAAATCCTACTATTCGACTCGATTTGGTTCGTATACAACCCTACAGGTCCACACACATTTACTTTTTTTTTGTAAAAAGTACGCTGACAGCCGCCTGACACTGACATTAGCTTGCAAATCAATCAATATATGTGCAGTGCCTGTGCACACACACAATATTTTCATGTTGCACAAACAATTGTTTGTCTGTGTGCGCATACAACTTTTACCACACAGACAATAGTTGTGCGTTCCACAGACAATAGTTGTCTATGTGATCAACTTTAGTTGTCTGAGTGATCAATTTTAATTGTCTGGATGAACAAAAAACTCAATTTTCGATATACATCCGAATGAAGGATGTAGTTGTATGTGTAATCAATTTACATTAATTTGAATAAAATTAGAAACATAATAAAAATATATGAAATAAGATGAATAAGTTGATTTTGTGCAAATAATGAAAAAAATTGATAAATAAAGGTAGAGAAAAAGAGGATGAAGAAGGAAAGAGGAGGATGAAGAAGGTAATTTTTTTGTTGTTGAAAATTTTAGAAGAGACTGGGTAAAGAGGAAAGAGAGAAGGAAGAGAGAACCGAGAGAGGGAGAAGAGGGAGGAGAAAATGAGTTTTTTTTTGCTTTTATACCATGTACAACTTGTGTACATGGTGTGTATACTTAACATTTTCCTATTATTAATTGTCTACCTCTCCAACCTGAGGCGGAGCCAGAAAAATGTGTGAGGGGGGTCGAAATTTAATTATATACAGTATCAAAATGATGGATAGTTATTATACAATACTTGAGTTAAATGTTTCATATGTAGCTGAGATAAATGATAGTTTAATGAGCCTTTTCAATTAATTTTTTTTTTTGCCTTTTCAATTAATGTATTGATATATACTTCGTATGTAATGTATCATAATATTCACACAACTAATGACTGAATCAGGTGCTTTATTTTTAACTTTAAGAATATAATCAACATCTCACATCAAATTTTGTTTATTTCTAGTTAAGATCGTGATGATTTTTTTCAGAAGTCATAACTTTTTATTCGTAATGAGTTACGGGACCTATAATATATCAAATCGAATGTATTTCAGAACTCTACATTCTTGAACTATCAGCGGGGTCGGCTGACCACCCTGACCCAACCTTGGCTCCGCCCCTGTCGACTCTAACTTTAGGTGATGTGTGTATCTATGAAAAATTATTTAATCACACCCATTACTATTCCTTTTTGTGAGTTTTTTGTTGCGCTTGTTTTTATAATTTTAACGCCTCTCATCAAATAATTTTTTCCGTCGCTCTATTTGGTGTGTTTTTCCAGGCTATGCTCCCGAGTATAAGCGTTATTGTTTTTTATCCTAAAACCGGTAGAATTTATATTGGCCGGACATCATGAAGCTACGTGATTGTTAGAAGGGAAAATTATTATTAATTCCCTGAGGTTATGCCACAATTATTAATGCAACCTTGCTTTTTTAAAAATCAATTAGTTACCCCCGAGTTTTGATCATTCTCACTATATGTCCCTCTCATGTTAATATTTGTTAAATTAAATTTAATATAATTCTTAAATTCAATGAAAATTGTCTGTGAAATTAATTTTTAAAGTAAAACACAATTTATTATCATAATTAT